TTGGAAACGACGGACCTCCGACACCCGTGCACGGTCGGGGGTCCGGCGTTCCCGAACCGCCCTACCCCCTCCGCCCTTTCCGCACGGGGGTCCGGCGGATTGGAAACGCCGGACCTCCGACACCCGTGTACGGTTGGGGGTCTGGCGTTCCCGAACCGCCCTACCCCCTCCACCCTTTCCGTACGGGGGTCCGGCGGATTGGGAACGCCGGACCTCCGACACCCGTGCACGGTCGGGGGTCCGGCGTTCCCGAACCGCCCTACCCCCTCCACCCTTTCCGTACGGGGACCGGCGGATTGGAAACGCCGGACCTCCGACACCGTGCACGGTCGGGGGTCCGGCGTTCCCGAACCGCCCTGCCGCCTCCACCCTTTTGGTATGGAGGTCCGGCGGATTGGAAACGCCGGACCTCCGACACTCGTGCTCGGTCGTGGGTCCAACGTTCCCGAAATGCCCTACCTCCTCCACCCGTTCCGGATGCAGGTCCGGCGGATTGGAAACGCCGGACCTCTGACACCTGTGCTCGGTCGGGGGTCCGGCGTTCCCGAAATGCCCTACCTCCTCCACCCTTTTCGGATGGAGGTCCGGCGGATTGGAAACGCCGGACCTCCAACACCCGTGCTCGGTCGGGGGTCCGGCGTTCCCGAAACGCCCTGCCTCCTCCACCCTTTTCGGATGGAGGTCCGGCGGATTGAAAACGCCGGACCTCCGACATCGGCACGGATGACGGGGCCCCGGGGGTCGGGCGTTCCCGAAACGCCCTGCCCCCGCCATCCTTCCTGGGTGGGGTGGGGGGGGCATCGGAATGGGAACCCTCGACCCCCTGCCTCGAAAGGATGGCGAGGGTCCGGCGGACAAGGAACGCCGGACCCCTCGACCATGCACGGTTGTCTGGTATGCAGCGTTCCCGACACCCTCGCTAACCCCCCTTGCTGAAAGGATGGCGGTTGTATGGCGGGTCACGTGCCTTCTTGAATGTCTCGGACCACATGCAAGTGTTTCTGTGTGGTGCTCATTGTTGTTCTCCTGCCCGTCTTTGTTTTGCATTTGCCACCGGCAGGTAAATCTGGTGCGCCGACCTTTGCTCAAAATAAACGGTACGGCAGGTCTAAGACTTACAACGACAAACCGTAGGCTCTTGACTGGGTGGGCGGTTTGCATAAACCGGGGTGTAGGGCTGTTATCTTCTTGAGCGATGACAATGGCGCCACTTGGTACTGTTGTGGGGATGTGGAGAAATCCGAGGCGGGCAGGAAGACCTACGAAGGGAGGACGTTCAAGACCTTCTTCCTCACGTCCGTCTTCGACAGCGCTAGGACGGACTGGGTCAAGGAAGACAAGAAGGTCTCCCTTGACCTGCGTCTCTTCCAAGGATACGGCGTCAAGGCTTTCTCCATGAAAGCGTTTGACGTGCATGAGGACGAAACTGAATTCCGAATGCTTTCTCCAGAAGAGTTTCTCAGCAATACAAACGCCAACCGCGTCACTGGCTGCCTTCCTGTCGTCGACAATTCTTTTCGGATGAGCAAACCCTTGGTCCAATTCAACAGTCCGATGGACCTGCTGCCAGGTGTGGTTAAGCGGTACAGGGAAGACTTCTCGAAGCTGCCGCTGGACCAGCAAGCGGACTGTGTTTTTTTGCCCTTCGAGGCGGGTTCCAAGAGCAGGCGGCAAACGCCCTCCGTGAGGGGAGGTCGTGATTTGGCTCAGGGTTCAAGCGAGGCAACGGAGTTTGATGACAGGCTTCTGCACCAGCGCAATGTTGGCCGTGAAAATTTCCAGGGCAGTGCAGTTGCCCTGGACGAGGACAACGACGAGGACGAGGAAGGAGGAAGTATTGGCCCGCATGACGACGGCGGTAATGAAGCAGATGTGGAAGTTGGGGATGACAACATGCAGGACCGGGGCGCGCTTGCTGACGAGGACGCCGACACGCCAATGCATGGTCATGACATCTCCCCCGCCGACGCTGTGGGAGCCGCTATTGGTCAGCCCTCGACGTCCCGTGGAATTTCGCTATCGCAAAGCAGGAGTAAGGGTGGGCACGACTCACATGCAATGCAAGGACCGAAGGCGAGGAAAAGGACAAGGGAGACTTCTCCGTCTGCTTCTACTCACAAGAGGCAAGCCAGGACTGACGCTGTTAATGAGGCTCGTGGAGCTTTGACAGCGTCCTAGGAGGCGCGGCGTCCTCTGAAAAACAGCCAAGGGGGGCGATCTGGGGGTCAAGGCGGTGGCCGTGGGGGCGGTGGCCGTGGAGGGGCGCGGAAAGGCTCCCAAAGGGTGAGACCACAAGAGCTGCAGGACTCGGGGGATGAGGGCGAGGGAGTGGATCCTCGCATACCCGAAGATGCTGATGAGCCGGTTCAGCGCGTCGCGCCCATCGACACTACGCGTTGTTTCTTCCTCGAATACGACGACCAAGGCTTTGCTACGCAAGACGTCCATGCTCTTCACGTGGACGTCATGAGAATCAAACGCATTCCCTGCGGAAGGATTCTTTTCAACCACTGCTCGTTGTCTGAAAACATTGTGCGAGGCATCAAGAATGCCATCAAAAGCTCCATCAGCACGGACCCGGGGGCGTGGGATAGGCCCGAGCTCGTGCTTGCGCCAGTTGACCACAATGACATTGTCGGCGACCAGGGAAGACGGATCACGCCGACCGAATTCTTGGAAAAGGACCCGACAGAGTTCGACTGGTACGCTGTCTGTGGTCAGCATACCGTTGAGGCCATGAAGAGATTGTTCAGAAAGGGCTCCCCGACAGTTAAAGTTTATGGCCTCAACGCGTACTCTAAGGTGCGGGTCGTCTATTTCAGAGATGATCAAACACGAGGTATTTCAATGTCTTCTGCTTCGACAACACACGCGAAAATCGCTCCATGTTGTTGTCATTCGAGGACGCTGTCCGTGACATCAGGCAATGGTGGATAGACAACAAATTCAACAATAGAATCGAGGCCCTGAAAGCCAAGGTCAGCGAGAAGGATGAGGTGGCCGTTGCACATCAGAACACGTGGCAGAATTTCTTGAGGGCCTGCATGGGGAAGTCATGTGACAAGGCGTTTGTAAAGCAAACTCTCGAGAATGAGTACAGTAAGGATTGGAGTAATAAACTCCGGGGCTACATGAACCTCGCCACATCCAGTGTCGCAGTGTGGCTGCTGGTCGAGAGGTTCTACGAGATGTTCAACGAAGGAAAGTTGCTTGTTGGCGATGGCAAAATCCCGCTTGACATGCCCGGGAGGATGGAAGGCCGCCTGCCAGGCCCGTACACCGACGAGACCAAGGGACAACAAAGATAGAGTACCATTGCATATATGCAATGGATGGTCCCAAAGTCTCCACCGTGTCGTGGAAGGATCTCTGTCCTTCCTACTTCAAAAATTTTGGGGATTTGACATGTCGTGAGAGGGAAGTTGCGTTGCTCCTGCTCATGAAGGGGAAGGTGGTCGCAATGAACGTCAAGGTCTTGCCTCCAAGAGTGAACACAGAGTGCCTCCTCGACATTATGCGAAAGGAGCGGTACATGGTGCGTATGTTCAATTATGTTCTGTTCCGCGCCGAGGAAAGGGCGGACAACAAATGGAACGACGCGTTCTTCATGTCGTACAAGGACCTTGAAGATAGGTATGGGCCAAACGGTTTGTGCGCTGCTGAATGGGAGAAGGAACGGGACAAGTTACATGTCAATAAGGTGAAGATGGTCCCTCGACGACTTGGAGGAATGGAGGAGGCAAGGCAAGGTGCGGGCTTGGGGCCTACGGCGACAATGTATAAGGAGGCTCCGGTTCACCTTAAGGTCTTCATATACACTCCAATAGATAAGCTCGATTTGCTTCGCGCCGAGGTGAAACGAATCGGCCACAGCATGCGTCATATTGTGTGGGACAAGATTGGCAAACAAACGACGTTGCTACCTGTGTGCATGCCATCGAAGGAAGTGTTGGCAGCGCCAGACGACATTGTCGCTGCAGCGCAAAAAATGACATGCACGGCTGCCATCGTGGACATCCCATCCTCGAACTTCAGCACGGCGTGGACCTCTCACGAATTTAATGCCTTGCACACATTGATGACCAAGTGTTGTGGCCAGAATTGGGTCCTTTTCTTCTTTGCGCCGCAGAAGGTGCAAAACGATGTTTTACGTCACTTGTTCCGCTAGGAGGACGTCGAAATCATCCCCGGGACCTAGAACGGGTGGTCAAGCCACCAAACGACATCACACGATACGACAATATGGCTACGACGAGTCGAGATATGATGGTCATTGTCTTGCACGCCGACGGAGGGGATCTGAAAAAAGTAACTGTCAAACCCCGACTCCACAACGACCTCACAACCGTGCACGTTGTGGAGGAGAAGTTCGGGAAGTGTCAAGGAAAACACAGTGAGATAGAGGGCAATGATAGTGCGGTGTATTCCATCTGGGAGCAAGAGCCTGGAAAATTACGTTCGTTATGCGGGTCATTTGTCGGAGAGGCGGAAGGTGTGCTTTTGTTGGGTAGAGCGCACGCAGGTCTTGTGTGGGAGTTATTATTGGCAGGTAATAATGTCATTGTCTGCGACGAGTCGGCCAATGACATTGCATATCTGACAAAGTTCGTCGATATACTTGTGAAGGATGAAAGATTCGCCTGTCATGTCGGGAACCCACGTTGCAAACATCGTAGCAACAGGGACATGTTCCACAAGTTGGGACGCAAGAGACTGAAGGTGTGAGAATACCTATTCCACGATGCGCCGTAAGGACGGCTTGACGGGAATTACATCTACAGGAAAGCAAAGGTGACTGAGACCCTGAAACATTATCACGGTGCTCTTACTGGCGCCTTTGAGACTTTTGTCGCTCGATGCAAGATCCTGAAGTTCGATCTTCATAAAAACCAGCTGATGTCAAAGGACTACGCTGACCTCGCGAAATCGGGTGACGGCTTTAACCCCGTCGACAGCGAGGAAGACTCTTCAAGGTCTGACCTCGAATTGGGTGATGGCAAGGGTGGTGAAGGTCCGGGCGGTGGCATGGTACGGTCACACGATGAAGGAACCGTTCGCTCGCATGAAAGACCCGTACAGGTGGCCGCCCACAGTGTTGGCTCGATGGTGGCCCCAATGGTGGGTACCGGTTTGCCAAACATGGGAATATGTGGTCCCAATGATGAAGATGACATTGATATGCCAGGCAAGGCGTCGAAGCTCGCACCAAGCGATCCAATTTCTCCCGGCTATTGTGCTGATCCGACCACAATTTATTTCTTGGGGGGCAAACACGCCCGCACTGGTGAGGACAAGTGAGGCCATGACATCGTGTGGCATGAGGGCATTTTTTAGCCCTGCATCCAAGATGGGGAGTGGAAGATGGCGGTCAAATACACAAGCGGATGGCAGACGTTTCGCCGGATGTCAAAGGACACTTGGCTGAAAACGACGGAACTCGCGATTATGTACCGCGTGCAAAAGGAGAATCCGGGGCAGAGCGAGGGCACTGTCAAAGACAAGACCAAAGAATTGTTTTGTTTATTGCGAGACAATCAGCAGTTGGAGTACAGTTGGAAATTTTACGCCCTGCGAACAAGTCCCTCATGTGGGTCAATCGACATGAAGGTCAATCAAACTATCGGAACCATGGAGGAGAGCAACTCTCAGGATGCCGTGCCTTTGTCGGCATCGCCCCCCGTACCCACGCAGGCAAGGCAGAGGGAGGATGACGGGAGTAATGTGGTGAAGACTCAAGAGGTTCACATGACGTCTATGTCGTAAATCTCCGTCGACACGACAGAACCGTCCAAACGCATGGATGTGTCAAATGCATTGTCGTCAGATGCAGGTGCCACGTACGGGAGTTTATTACTGACATGCGCCGCATTAGAAGGCACATCCGAAATGCAGTCAGAGTCAGGTGTTGGCCTGAGCGTGCCGGACAGTCAGTTGCAACCGGAGTTATGCACAGGCAAAGGTGATGCACAAGTACATCTGACACCATAGGGAGGGGCCGCTGCGGATGGTGGGAAGGGAGGGGATGTGGAGGGAATCCTTCATCCTCGCAATCTTGAGACCTTAACCGAGGATTTCGATTATGGGGGTGAGGGTGGAAATGACGTGGTCAATACGAGGGGAGTGTGAAATGATCGGTGAGGCAGGAGGGGGGCAATGGAGAGGGAGAAACCAACGATATGATTACAATGTTATTCTTTTCTTTGTTAATTGAAATCGCACAATTGACTCATTTGTTTTTAGTTTCAAATGAAACTAGTATTAGTCTTCGTAGGCACTACGACCACCTGATTTTCTTTTATGTATATTTATTTTTTTCCTCAATATTACGTTCGACCTAAGATGTTTAGGATACTTGCCATTTTCGACGTGGATGTGTGTATCCGGATGTATTCAGACTTGGATCTCTCTCTCTCTCTCTCTCTCTCTCTCTCTCTCTCTCTCTCTCTCTCTCTCTCTCTCTCTNTCTCTCTCTCTCTCTCTCTCTCTCTCTCTCTCTCTCTCTCTCTCTCCGACTTGGATGTGTGTATGCGGACGTATGCAATGAGGGTGGCCAAGGTGTGAGGAATAAATGATTGATTGTATAAGTGAATGTCGTAAATGCAAGTAAAAGATTAGAGAAACATTGAAAACATGCGTTGCATGCATTAGCTCCCACAAAGCATTTGGCCATGCACTCACCATCCTTTCCTCATCCGCCCGCGTGAACGTCGTCTTCCTCATGTTTGTGGTATGCAGTGCAAATGACAACAACTAATACAAGATTGTGCGAAAGAGGATGGACAATGCATCTCGCAACTTCGTCTTTATCAAAGAGGGAGACGACAGCCTTGACACGTATCATCCGCGAATACGGGAAGAGGTATCCCATAGCCACCACACACGACGTATACATGAACGAGGTGTTGCAACTCACTCGCAACAATTTCCTTTTACTCGTTGTAGAACGTCAGTAGTTAAATGACAATGTCATCAACTTTTACCTCAATGTCATAGCATTGGACAACTGGTGTAGAATACAACACGTAGAATGCGACGCGGAGAATGAGATCGTTATTAGAGAAGGAAAGAGTCGCATTCCTAGAGTATCGGTGCTGAGCTCATTTTTGTTCGTCAAACTTTTCGACAATGAAATGAGATATAGAGGTCAAGAGGTAGAGTGTTGGTGTCAGGACGTTATCATAAGTGACATGGACTTGATTATTGCTCCTTTCCATATCGAACACAAAAATCACTGGACCCTTGTCGTGGCTGACTTCAGGAGGAGGAAATTCAAATTTTACGACTCCCTCAACCCCGACATGGAGTTGGCGAGAAAGGTGACCGGCGGGTTTGCAAAGTTTATATTCGAAAGATCGAAATCACAAGGCAAAGAGGTGGACACGAAACCATTCAATCACATATGGAATGTAGAGGGTATTCCGAAGCAACACGACACGAACGAGTGCGGGGTCTTTGTGCTAACATACGTATCACTGTTGGCACGGGACCAACTTCCACCTTTCTTTTTCATTGCTGATGATATACCCGCGATACGTCGTCGAATAGCTTTGGACACAGTGGCTCGTGAGTAGTGTGTATATGATAATCCGTAATATGGTTTGGAGGGGGGGGGGATGCCACAAGATGGTTTGTGATAAAAACAATGTATATAAGGTGCCAAATATTACTCGATAAGCTGTGCCACTTGACCCTTGCAATTTAGCACATATCCCTTACACCTCACTCTTTACATCTTACCCCGTTCACCTCACACCTTGCCCCTTACACCTTACCCCTTACACCTTACCCCTTACCCCTCACCCCTTACACCTTACACCTTACACCTTACCCCGTACCCCATACACCAAACATCTCTTTGTAATGGTTTTTGCACCTAAATCAGCTAAAAAATGACAATTTCGATTTCGTTCAAAAAATATGAAATGTCCGTTTTGACGAAATCGCTATTCAAGGGGGCAGAATGATCTAGATATTGCGCCATTTATTGTTATCTCTTTCGAAGAGAAAGAGTACCCGCGTATAAGGTATAAGGGGGTTCCAAAATATCATATCTGGGATTTGTAGTATCGGTTCTCCTAGGAAGTAGGCAGCAGGGATTCAAGTTTCTGTAAGAGTGAGAAACGACAGGGGAGGCAATAGAGCTGAGCTAGGTTTAGTACTCTCGATATTCAAACAAAAAGAAAGTGAGGTTCGATGGATTACTCGAAAATCTTCGTTTGCTTTCTGAACAAAGAGTCGAACATGCTCACTCAACTCTTCTTCAGTTGGCATATGATTGAAAAGCTCCGCGTAATCTCTCTCATCTTATTCATCTTTCTCAAAAGGAAGATACTGTTGCTTTCTTGTGGCGAGATAACCTCCAACTCGTCTAACTTTGTCTCCTAAGTATCCTGTGTACCGATCATCCCAATTCGTACTACTTTTTCTATTGCCACCTTTTTTTTTCAAGGGGCGCATGAAAATACACAAGGGAACAATTTGTGGCTTACCTCCGGTGTGTGTGAGAATCATTTGCCGCAAATCGAAGTGCAAGCGCGTGCCTACAGCCATCGCCCAGGGCAATCCCAACAACACGGAATATGATTGCACATCGATTACTAACGTGTTCATCAGCACATGCACTCGCCCAACCTTCATGGCCACATTTTCGATCATCCCTACAATTTTCATGGTTTCCTCATCGACCAAGAGAGTTGTCTTTTACGGAGACAGGAAGGATGGAGTTTAGTCGTCCGGTCTTTTGCACCGTATTGAGTAAAAGCGCCGCGACAAATGAACCCGTGGCAATCAAGGCGTTAAACGACTTTCCCCAGACTTCACAATCACACTCAACACTCTTCCACAACACCGGTCAAACATAGATGAAATGATCGTTCTCCACATATTAAGAAATTGTTGCCACACGAGTGGATTCTGGCGCCTCAACAACTAATTTCTTAGAAATCATTATCATCTCAGAGTCTGAACACCGATAGAAACTGGGAAACTGGGTACATGATTCCAGGGATGCTAATTGCTCTTCTGATTGAAGTTGTGATGATTTGGTTCTTAGTTGGCTGATGCCAGAACAGCACTGGCTAGGTCTATGGGGTGTGGCCCTGTAACCTGCTTTCGGAGAAGCATGAGACCCTGGCAGTGAGATCTGGGGACTCGCCGACGGTGGAAGGCAATTCAGTAGCTAACTAGGGGCTGCTACTAGGACAACGAAGGTCGGAGCTGGGGTAGGTCGTGCTGCCCTGTACCCTGCATGTTGGGGATGTGACGCCGGGTAGGCCTGGTAGTATGGTCAGGACAGCTAGGTTTGGTGTAGGTTAGGCTCTTAGTGCCACTTCGGAAGGTGGGTGCTTGGTTGATGTGGTGATATAACTTGTTAATAAAATTCAAAGGAATTACACTCAAGCATGGATTACTTCAAGCTGTTACAGATTCCGGGTTCAGGATTTCAGTTGCAATCTAGGACGATCTCAAACTTTCAGTTGCAACATAGGATGATGGACAAAGTACAAAATAGAAATGAGTTGTACACCCGGCACGCCAGCAACAGGGTGTTTTATGACGACGCCGCTTTCAAATCAACCAACGAAAAGATCGCATGGCTTCGGAGACTCCTGGCCTCCCTGAGAGGGAACGCGGAGGAAGCACAGGACCTGTTTTTGCTCCAACCACTATCCACGACGACCATCACGGTCGTCTGTCGACATGAAGCGGACAAACGACAAAGGGACGGGTGGCGTTCAATACGATGCGACAGGTCTGAGGTGCGTATTTACCCTTGGTCTCCTCCCAGACAACAGAAACCGGAAGAAAAAAGGCAACAGATGATGACTGATCACTTTTGGGTAGAATTTCGCCATGTCCCTGTTGAAATCCAAGCCACCTTGATCCACGATTTTGGGGAGAAGTACAATATAATCGATTTTATTGACCCTCTTCCCCCCCACGTGGCGAGACGTGATGATTACCTGATGCTGGCAATTGACCTGCCTGAAAACCAACCCTTTCCGATCGACGATATAATCCCCTTCTACATGGGAAACAAGGAATTCAAAGTGCACACGGCCCATAAACTCAGGCCTTGGTGCTTTAAATGCTATGCGTACGGACACTTGTACACAGAGTCCGCCTGTCCTCACCACCCGATCAATCAAAGCAGAGCAACAGGCAGACTGTCCCAGGATCCCTTCCGCAGTACACATTGGCATACTGTGGACCCTGGGCACGAGGGGTGGGTTTTTATAGACAAAAAAGACGAGACAGGTAAGACCATAGGCTCGACCTGGGACAAACAGGGCGACCCGGACTCTCAATCGAAACCTCCGGCGTCATGGGTCCCCCCCAAAACAGTTGAATCCCATCTGCAGCTCACTACCTCCCCGGGTCAGGGCAAGGCGCGCCTCCCCGCCCCCCCCCCCACCACCGTCACCAAGGAACCAGCAACCGTTACCAAGGAACTAGCAAACAGGTCACATCGCCATTCTAAAAGATGGGCTCGACCTGGATCCGAGAAACTACATGGAAGACCTGTCAGATGGTGAGAAAACCAACGATGGCAAGATAGCCAAAGGCAAGGCCAAGTGTT